AAAAAAAAAAAAAAAAAGTGAAGATTACAGAGGTGCCTGGGTGGCTCATTGGCTAGGCATCAGCTCAGGTCATGATCTCAGGGTCGTGAGATGAAGCCCTGCTGAGACTCCACACTGTGCATAAAGCCTGCTTGAGATTCTCTCTCTCTCTCTCACACATTCCCTCTGCCCCTCCCCCTTGCTCACACATGCATTTTTGTGTGTCTGTCTCTCTAAAAAAATTAAAAAGTGGGGCACCTGGGTGGCTCAGTCAGTTAAGCACCTGCCTTCGGCTCAGGTCATGATCCCAGGGTTCTGGGATCAAGCCCCACGTCAGGATCCCTGCTCAGTGGGGGGAGCCTGCTTCTCTCTCTCCCTCTACTGCTCCCCATGCTTATGCTTTCTCTGTCTCTCTCTCTCTCAAATGAATAAATTTTTTAAAATCTTTTAAAAAAAAAATAGGGATGAAGATTTATACTGAGCTCCCTGAACCTCCTTATAATCAACAACATAAATCAGCAATGGGAGCTAAGTTTACAGAGAATACAAAAAAATATAGTCAATTAGCCTGGTAACAGATCAAACTGTAATCAATCAAGCTAACCAGTATTAGCTTTTTAAAAACTAATATATTCACATCAAGTTAAACATCTTATGTTATTATTCTAATGTTTGTTATGACATGGAGGAAAGACTGTAAAGAAACAACTAAGCAAATTTTTGAGTCAGGCAATTTATCTTTAGAGCCTTCTTTATATTAAGGCACATTTCTTGATTTTCTGAGCACCAAAGATCACATCATTCTCAGCTGAACACCAGATTAAGATGGAGATGGTTAAAGCTTAAGGTTTCATCCAAAAGTCATTATGAAGTCTGAGAGTATAAGCCTGTGTTTGAGAATGTCAAAAATGTATGCATATCCTGGAGGAGCAAATAATCACTAATCTCTCCCTTCTATAAATCAGTAGTCTAAAAGCTTTTGTTGAAAATACAAAAATCAAACTTTTTATTGGAAAAAAATAGAGCAAAATTGCACAAAACAAAGAAGCGCTTCGTGGTGCCCTTCTTCCCTCTGAAAAAGTCTAACCACTAACCTGACTTTAAAAGAATTCACTTTCTTGCCTTTCCTTACTGTTTATCATTCAAGGGCACATATTTAAACTCTTTAGTTTAACCTTGCCCATTTTTTAAAAACTTCATAGGACTTTAACATATTTTTATCTATAGGTTATCCTTCTTTTCCAGTCTTTATTTTCTTCATAAAACTTATTACCAAGTAACATCAAACTTTTCAAAGATGATCATCTTTCTCGTATAAAGATTATATTATTCTTTAAATGTCTCCTCAAAAGTTATCTCCATAAGGCTATCATCACTAAATTAAACATCCTAAGAGAAATGCCCATCAGCTTTAGGCATTATTCAATTTTAAAACATTACTACACGATATCTCACCTAAATGAGAATATAATTGAGAACAATTTAAAACATTTTAAAAAATGTATTGTTATTTCACTGAATTTATAGGCAGGAACTATTCCAGACTAAATTCCATGATTGTAAAATAAATCCCATTATATTCACCTCTAACGCTGATAAAGTAACTGGTTACAGGCTTACTCAACACATCCAACCACACCAAAAATAACTTTACCACTGAACAAAATAAATGAATCAACTATTTCCAACTCTGGTTGGAATAGACAATAGCAAGAGCAAAACTACAACTCCACATTTCCAGACAGAATGGAAACATTTAAGATGTGCCAATGTTCACTCTAGCTCTCTGACTGGGCTACATTTCCTAAACAATGAAAAGGAAATAAAGGCCAAAGGGAGCAGAACTCTCACTGAGCCAAGGAGGTAGAGAATCTCGGGGTTCTAGAGAAAAGAGAGCTATTTAAAAGGGGAGCCTCACAAGCCTAGTAGAAGTATCCCATGGGTCCTTATTCTATATCTGGGTTCCACATGCCCAAAGCATGAAGCCTAAGAGAGAACAACTCCTCCAGGAATGAGAGCAGAAGAAAGATACTAGCAGTCACATAACACAGTGAGGTGATAGAATTCTAGCCCACACAAATGGAAAGTTAACACCCAAACATTTACTCCAGACACCAGAAAAGCCACCTGTTAGAGATAAGGACCACAGTCTTAGAGCAGCCTTTCTCAATTGGGGTTCTAGCAGGAGAATTAAACCCTAATGCCCTAAGGCATCCACTATATGTAATGAATTACCTTCTCTCCGTACACCTAGAACGGTACTAATATGGCGGTCCTTGGAGAACATAGAAAACAGTAATTCAAATTATTTTCTATGATTCAGATGAGAAACCTAGAATAAGGACCAGTCTAGATCTGCCTTATTAAAGCCTAAAACCAAGCCTTGAAAGGCAAAGGAGAGTTGGGAGGACATTAGCTACCTTTTAGAATAAAATAACATCCTTTAAAGGAGAAAAACAAACATAATCTAGACATTATCAAACATACCAACCACAATGTCTAGTACTCAATTAAAAAAACTCCTTAAGACATGAGAAAAGATAGAAAAATGTGATACACAAGGAAATAAAAGGAGACTCAAAAGAAATAGATCAACATGACAAAGATGTTGAAATCAGTAGACAAGAAAGTTAAAGCACCTATTATAAATATGTTCAATGATTTAAAGGCAAATCTACAATGAACAGAGAGAGAAACCTCAGAAGAAAGGAAACTAAGAAAAATAACCAAGTGGAAATTACAGAAATGAAAAATATGAGAAATGAAGCATTCACTGAATGGGCTTATCTGCAGATTGAAGAAAGCAGAAGACAGGGTCAGTCAACTTGTGAACGCAATAATGGAAACTAACCAATACAAAAAAAAAAATCAGAAAAACAGAGCTTTAGTAACCTGAAGTATAATGTTATGCATACTAACACACATTAAGTGGAGTCCCAGAGAGCAAGAACAAAGTGGAAAAAATACTGAAAAAACACTATCCCTGGGCAAATCATAATCATACTGTTGAACACCAGAGTTAAAAATATCTCGGGAAGGGGCGCCTGGGTGGCTCAGTTGGTTAAGCGACTGCCTTCGGCTCAGGTCATGATCCTGGAGTCCCGGGATCGAGTCCCGCATCGGGCTCCC